TTTTTTGGTAAACAAGTTACTAAATCATAGAGAAAGAATTTCTCTATGATCCAATCAGAAACTCTAAAAGTATGGGGTGACTTACTTGAGACACACCCCCATTACCTAAAGTATAATAGGCAAACACCCCCATCACTGAGTCAGTAATCAGTAATCAGTAATCAGTAGTCAGTATTCAGTAGTCAGTAGTTCAACACAGAAGAAAAGTACAGAGCTGAGCTGACTCCACTCTAAAAGGGTTCTCTAACATCTGAAACCTGGAGTTTAGCTGATTGTAACCATGTACAATTTTTGTGAATAAAAGCACTAAAAAGAACTGTGTTATACTACTCATTAAAAAGTTACCAACAACTAACCGATATTTAACATTAAACCATGCAGGGCTAACTTAGATATCGTAAATTTTGTACGATTCAAGTGCTATTTTTGTGCATCTATACGAGTCAGTGGCGGATCCAGGAATTTGAAATATATGGGGCCCAGAGATATGGGGTGCCATACGCAGCAAAAGTCCATGTTAAAATCAAAATGTAATTGCAAAATTCAATGTCTAATTTATTAAAACGTAGGTGTAAATTTCTCAAAATGTAGATCTAGTTTCCCAAAATGAAGTTCTAATTTTTCAAAACGTAGTTCAAATTTTCCAAAATGTAGTTCTCATTTCTTTAAAATGTAATTCAAATTCAAAACGTAGGTCTGACTTGATCAAACGCCCTCTCCAAATTTTATTCCAAAACGTAAATAAAAAACCAGCCTGGTTTGAAATGCATTTTACAACAACACTAGAAATGGACTTTTGCTGCGTATGGCACTAGACTTGCGAAATGTAAATCAAAAGTAATCAGCCAAGCATGACGTGAGCCTGTTCCATTAATGATGGGGGAATCATTTTTCGCTGCAGTCCAATGCCGTGAACAACGCTTCCCAGTGCATCTGCTAGTCAGGGTACCGCGACCAAGGCATTATAGGCTAGGCTTATGTGAGTTGGAATTTGCAACAATTCTTGGACCAGGCCTCTATACTATAGTAGGAGGCCTGGTCCTAGTCTAGGCCTATAATATAGTAAAATTCTGTATAAGTAGTCATATGATTACAGGTTTACATTGTACCAAGATCGATATTAACGATCGCATTTATTTTTCATTGAAAATTAAAAAAAAAATAAAAAAAAAATTTAACTTAAGAATTTTAAAATATTCAAAAAAACTGTACACTTAAAAAAAAATTAAGTTAACAAACAACGCGATAGAATATGAAGTTTGCGAGAATAATTGGTATACTTGTACTGTATTTTCTGAAGCGCCGTTCGTTTTGGGGTTGCTACGATAAAAATTTATTTATTTTTTATTTTATTTTTTTTTTAAGCGTACATGTTTGGAATATTTTAAAATCCTTAAGTTAAATTATTTAAAGTTTTCTTTTTATTTTCAATGAAAAATAAATGCGATCGTTAATATCGATCTTGGTACAATGTAAACCTGTAATCATATGACTACTTATACAGAATTTTACTATAGGCCTAGACTAGCAGACGCACTGGGAAGCGTTGTTCACGGCATTGGACTGCAGCGAAAAAGGGTTAAATTAATGCCACTAGATAGCCCTATTAAAACTAGCTTTGTATATAAAGTTGTATTGTTTAATAAATTATATTTCTTGTAAAAAGTTAACTTTATGTTGTTTTCTGGTAACTAAATGACATATTAATTGGTTTTAATATTTTCGCATTTTGATTAATAAAACATGAGGCAAAAGTAAAACTGAATGAAAATATGTGTTCTTAGTAAGCCATTTGACCATATTAAGCTGGAATACTCTCGCTTTTATGTATACTTTTTACAGTCAATAAAGTGCGCCCTCTCTAATGAGATTACTTTTTGTACTTCGCATCTCGCACAATGCGGTCGTTCGGTTAGGCTGAGATATGTTTGTTTAAGTGTCAAAATCTCAGTCAGAATAAGTTTTTTTAACAAATTTGAAATAAGGCCAAGTAAAAAAAAATAATTGGTTAGCATCCTTTTGGTATCAAATTTCATGGTAGGGAGGGAGGTTTTTTTTTTTGTTTTTTTCTCGTCGAACATGAAAAACCAGCATCGGAAGGAAATTTAGCAAAACAAAGAAGAGGAAAACAACAGAGGCCAAATTTGGATACAAGAAATCATGTAATTCATCTATAGCAAGCAGATAAGCTTTGCCTAATGTTGTCATATTGAAATCCCTATATATGAAGTTTTAAAACATGCAACATTGTATATGTTTACAGAACTGATGATATTGATAACAGGTTTATAAAGCATTCCATCCTAAGTGGCGAGTGTAATTGCTGTTGGATGTGAAATTAAAAATAAAAATAACAACAGTATAATAATTCATTATTGTCCATTCATAAACAGAAACGTAATTTTTTAGCTGGCATTTTGTACAATTGATTACTATTTGTGATTGTTTATGTGATTGAGTATGTACATTATAGTGATAATACTCAATTAGTGAATTAGTTAATGAGTTTGACTAGTATCATGTGCTATGTTTATGCTGAGAAACACTGACATCTAGTTGGACCAGCTGTTTGGAAACATCACGTCACTGTTCCAGCATGTGAATATTCCTGCCTTGTGTTTTAAGTTTGTGTTTGCTGGACATTAATTATAACTGGACCATACTGGGTTTGTTGTTGGAACAACACAACAGTCATCATTGATGCCATGCAGGGGTTTCGCCAGAAAAACATAATAGACGGCCTATTTTGTTTTTCCAAAATTGAAGCCAGTGGGCGTGGCAATGAGCCGATGGCGGGCCACGCCCATCGTTAGTAATCCCCACCAATTATTGGTACGAAAACGTACATTCAATCAATAAATGTTGTTTTTATCAAACGTAAATATGATTTACCTTAAGTTTAATGTAACATTCGATAGATTTGAAGAATACATAAAGAATTTGCTAAAGGTAGACCAGGCCCAATTAGGCTAGGCCGAGCTGATTAGGCCAAGCCGTCACGGTAAAAGTTGCCGTCCTAAATAATTGTAGGCAGTCCAAAAGACGGCCGGACGGCTCGCTCGCTAATATACGCATGCACTATCTCGCCGCTATATTTCCAGTAATAAATTTATCTATGCTGTCCTCCTATGAAATGGCGTGAAATATTTGTTTTATTTAGTTTATCTTTAAAATTTTATTTCGTGAAATATTGCACACAGGTAAGAAGTGAACATGCAACAGTTTTAAACTGATGGACGCAGCCATGTTTGTTGTCTTGTCTTGATGTCTTGTCTCCGGTCACCACAGAGCGGTTCCTCCTTGTTTCTCTTTCGCGCTGTGGATGTCTACTTCCAAAGTGATGGAAATACCAACGCGCTGATTGGCCGACTTGGCTTTTCTGCACAAAGCATGAGACGTAAGCATCGGATCGGAGTATAGTTTGCTAATATAAACCTAATCCCGAGTAAATCTTAATGCTTTGCATCAGCTGTACCGTGTATACAAATACACTCTTTTTATACTACTACTGTACTATAAAACTAGGCCTTTTCTAGGTAGAAGCAAGGACTAGGCCTAGACGCGACGATGATGGAATGGAACTGCAGGGATAAGCCCAGTAGGCTGGCGTTCGGCCGGATGGTAAACAAGCCTAGGCCTATATAAATTGGCTTCGGGAGATGGAGTTTTTGAGTGTTTTGTTTAAAAAAAAAAAAAAAAAATCCAGGTCGGGGGCTTTTCCGACGGTCGGGCGGGGATGCTAACCAATTGTTTTATTTTACGTGGCCTTATGCCTATATTTTGTATTTCTTGTTGGTTTACTTTTGTTTGTTTTATATTTTCATATCTTTTCTATCACTTATAAGCAGATGTTAAGTTCAATATCTGCTCATCCAATGACACATGTAGTGGACGTACTGCCCCACAAATTACGAAAGAAATGATATCAAGGTTGTTTATTGTTTATTAATTTTAAGAGAAATGTAATGGTACAATAAATAACGATAATGGAAAAATATATTTACCAAATCTTATGCTGCAGATTAAGTACCATTTTATGTAATTTTTTAATTCAGTTCTTCCTCCAATTAAAGACCAGTTCTGCGATGGGGTTTCCATGGTCCTTACCTGCTTTGATCTCTAATTAAAAATAATAAAGATAAAAGAAATTTGTTAAATTAGGATCAAAGAAAAATGGTCTTTAATTGTAGTGGTCATTAATTAGAGGGGGATCTGTATTCGATTGGAATGATAAAGAAATTTGTTTGCATTATTTTATCTATTTATCACATTATTTTCAGATATCTGTGGCCAGCACAGTAGAAGGGTAGAGACTACTATCAAAGCGTGTGGTGGTAGTTGGTGGAGGCTATGGATGTTAATTTGGGATCACAGAAAAATGGTCTTTAATTGGAGGGGTCATTAAATTGTAGGGAGACCTGTATTTGATTTGAATGATGAAGACATTTGTTTGAATTATATTGTCTTTTTATCACATTTTTTTCAGATATCAGTGGCCAGCACAGCAGAAGGGAAAGGATTACTATCAAAGCGTGTGGTGGTAGTTGGTGGAGGCTATGGATGTCTCTTATACACATCT